AGAACTGGCTGGAAGACCTGCCAAGAGAGCATTGCAATAGCCTGGACAGAACAAGAGCTTGAACAAGGAGTTGTGAAGCATGTTCCGAAAGAAAGGGCCTGATCTTCTTAACATTGTATAAAGCAAATCTGCCGGACTGGGCACTTTCAGAATGTGGTCTGAGAAAGTCAGCTGATCATCAATCATAACTCCAAGGTTACTGGCTGTTTTTGAAGGAGTTATCGTTGATGTGCCTAGATGGATGCTGAAATTGTGGTGAAGTGTTGGGCTTGCTGAAACCACAAACAGTTCTGTCTAGGCAAGGTTGAGTTGAAGGTGATGGTCCTTCATCCAGCAAGAAATGTCTGTTAGAAAGCCATGTGGGGTCGTCTTATATTCGGGCCAATACGGTATATATATACATATATACATATATATATATATACGTACACTCTAAAAAAATGGTGCTATATAGCACTAAAAGCGGTTCTTTGGCTCGTAATCATCAGTTGTCAGAATTGAAAAATCAAACTTAAGGGGTCACCAAAAAAGAAATTTTGATCGCTTTATATGATGAACAGATTTAATTACAGGCTTTTATTTAGTTATATAAACATTGAGATACATTAAATACGGTAAACACTGAAGATCAGCCATACTTGCTTGACGTGCAAGAACAAACCCTCACTGGTTCTCGCTCATGAAGCAAGCACGTTTGCCATATTTGATGAGCTCTATGTATGTGCGTTGATCAGGGTTTATTTATATAAAAGCCAAAATGTCTCTTCAGAAGACTTGGATAAAACCACTCATGTGGATTACTTTTACAATGTCTTTTTGAAGAGTCAACATTTTGGTTGTCCCAGATTTTATTCAAAGTATATATATAAGAGACATCTGGGCTTTTACAGAAAAATAAACCCTGATCAACACATATATAGAGTTCTGCAAATATGGCAAACATGCTTGCTTCATGAGTGAGAACCAATGAGGTTTGTTCTCTTTGGGTGACTCTTGAGTTTGATTTGAGAGTGAATAAAGACAATTTTGTAACTTAATGTCTTTTTTTGGAGCTTGAAAGTTTTGAGTACCATTGCCTTTCATAAAATGGACAACAACAGCCAAAACACTTGTCAAAATTCTTCTTTCGTGTTCTGACGGTCAAAAGAAAGTAATATGAATTTGGAGCGACATGAGGATGAGAAAATAATGATTTGTAATTTGTTGCTACACTATTCCTTTAACAATGCATTTCTGATCGAAATCAGTAAGAATGGTAATTGTATGTTAGTTTTGGCTGGACTTCAGAAGACACATGACACAGACAGACCTTTGAGCTGAGCTTTAGCTCCGTCATATATTTATCCTCATCTGTCTAAGCAAACACATTACAGTTCATGAACCGCACTGATGATTACTCATGGTTGTTTAATATACCTTGACAGTGATGTATAGCAGCTTACAGTCGGTTTATTTTGGTAGAAGGTTTTTATCTGTTGGATAAATGGTTTTTATGGTTCAATCTAAATCTCTCATTAAGGGGAAAAGCTCTGTTCTCTCTTAAGTGGGCAGGACATGTTTTCAGCCCCTAAGACTAATGATTTCACTTCAATTTTATCTTCTTGTTTTCTGTGTTTAAAGAAAAAACATCTAAAACAAACTTAAGAGGATTTCTTTTTTATCTCTTCATGAAAGTTTGTGAAACAGACCTGTAAGTGTTATGTGTTTAGTTGGTTTAGTTTGAAGGTGTGGAGTGAGAGCTTTAGTCTGGGAAGCTCATCAAGAAGGATTTAGCCTTGATGTGATCTCTTGAGATGATGTTACGCTCCAGCATTCCTTTGGAGATCACTACTGGAGACTCCATGACACACAATGGGCTCTCTCTGTCCCTAAAGTCCTAATTAAAACCTCACAAAAGACTTGTGGGACCTCAGAGGAGGCGTGACTCACGTTTGCTGTGGATAAATATTGGTTACCAGTGCGAGTGTCTGGAGGATTACTGCGGCGTTCGCCTGCATGATGATCACTCTTATATATGTTTGCCTTTGCCATCATTTCAGAGCAGCATTCAGATGGCATTTTACATGAAGTTACAAAGAAGTCTTTGTGTTTGTGGTGTCTGCCGTCCCCTCATTCCCAAAGACAGTGTGACATAATAGAAGTCTAAACACAGACACTCTGGACCATCATTCATTAGCTATGGTTAAATCCTCATCACCGCTTTTCCAAAACAAGGTTTGGTTAGGTGTTGACGTATGCTTGAGGCTGTGGTTATGGTGTTTACTTCCTCATACATGATTCATTCTTGCCCATGTCGCCCTACGCTGGAAGGAATTCTGACCTCAGGCTTTAAATGCCACTGTAGGCCTATGGCAAATATATATCATAGTCATCTAACGGTAATAAATGACAGGAGACTGGTGCTCTTGTATTAAACAGTTGAAACTTTTGTAGAAATATGCCGAAGAGATGACTCATCAGACAGTGATTTCAAAATTTTAACTTTAACACAACTCAATGTAGTTAATCAATTAGAATTTAAAAGAGATGGGTTCAATTTGTCATGTTTATTCTGTGGAGTTTTATGTTCTAAAACTCTTAATTTGAAGTTTATTTTTGATTCCATTGTATCTGTCTTTACTTTTCCTATGTTCCTTTCCTTGTTTTAGCTGTTTTTTTTGTTGTTTTTTTATTATGCACACCTGTGTCTGTTTTAGTTCTTGTCATTAAGTAAATGTATAGCCCTCGGTTTCAGTTGTCTTTAACTCAACTGTTAAAAAACCTGTTGGTTTTTGCAGTTCTTTGGGATTACCTTCTTCTAATGGTGGGACAAACAAAGTTTTTCAAGACTTCAGTTAATAAATGATTTAAACCAGACGCTTTGCAAAATGATTTGCTTTTGCAGCACTCGCAACACTGGTGATGCCTCCTTTTACAAACCAATTGCAAATACTTTACAGAAAGTGTATTCTATTATATGCAATCAACAAATCATCTAGTACAATTAAATGTCTACATAATATTTGTTATTTTATTAAACTGTAGGGATTGTTTTGTTTGTTTTATGGAGAGCTTGGTTAATCAGGCCAATAAGAGACTATTATCTACAACTCTTCCTTTTTATTCTACAAATGTGTCATTAAAATGTCACAAAACTGATCTGAGGTCAGGTAAAAAAAAAACATGTAAACAGTGGTTGATGGATTCATAGACATTGTACACTAGCTGCGAACCACTAACATTTTGAACCAGTTATGATGTAACAAAGCCTTATTTAGCCTTACGGGGAAGTCGTGGCCTAATGGTTAGAGAGTCGGACTCGTAACCCAAAGGTTGCGGGTTCGAGTCTCGTACCGGCAGGGATTGTAGGTGGGGCACTGAACCCCCAACTGCTCCCCGGGTGCTGCAGCATAAATGGCTGCCCACTGCTCCGTGTGTGTGTGTGTGTGTGTGTGTGTTTGCGCGCGCGCACACACACACACACACACACACTTTGGATGGGTTAAATGCAGAGCACTAATTCCAAGTATGGGTCACTATACTTGGCCACATGTCACGTCACTTTCATTTACTGAATCATGTGACTTCACTCCAACATCACACCATATTACTGGTTCAAAATGATTTGCAACGGTTTCAAAGCTTCATAGAACAGTGCTTCAAAAACTTCTGAGATTGTCTTCTTGTTTTTGTTTAATAAATGTTTACACTGTGATTAGATCCATGCCTGCACTATGAGACGTAATCGTGCCTTCAGAAATCCTGTTTGCTGTATTCCTGCTCAATGTCAAACTGACCACAATCTTCCAAACAATCCTTAAAATACATCTTATACATTCCCATCTGTCAAAGCTTTCTCTAGTGTGTGAGCAACCTTCAAAGATGAACCCTCTATTTCATACTCAGTAATCTGAAACTTTGTGATGTCATTGTAATCATATGTGTTTCTTGGTCTCTTTCAGAATGACCGTGTGTTGGACTGGTGTGAGGACCACAGGAGATGTTCACAGGTAAGATGTGTTTTCAGATTAATGAGCTTGACATTATTCGTTGAGCTCACAGCTTCTCACACTGCCTCAGCACTGCTAAATAAAACTCTGTTCAAATGTAATTTCCTTTTATTACAAGGAAATGGCCAAAGGTTAATGCCTTTATACAAACCACATGCCCTGTACCTACACTAAACCTCACTCGTGTCTAATGGCTTCTGGAAACCCAACATAAACAGCACTGAGAGCCACTGTTGTACCCAGGGCAATTTGTTTGCCTTCCTTCCACCGGATTATGGTCATTTTAGATTGTAGTACTTTATAGGAGAAATAGGGGTAGCACTTTAATATTTTGGTGTTCCCTAAACTTCTATTTTCCAAACATAAAATCAGAATTGATGATATTCAATATGTTATTGTGCATGAGTCACCTGTGCATATTATTCCATATAGCGATCACTTTTCACTATCCAGTAAGTTCCTGGTGGATAAAATCAGTCACATTACAGAAGTAATAGGTTGTGAACATGTTTCATGTTGACTTTAAGACCAAGTTTGTTTTTCCTAACTGGTTTGCCCCATGGGAAATAAATAAGGATAGGTTAGGGGTAATGCAATAAGCATTTACAGCACACCTCTCCTTCCACTAGAGTTCATTTGCAAGGATGCATTTATCACAAGAGCTCCCTGGATTCAGCATACTTTAGGGAAATTTTCAGCATTGACTCATTGAAAAACGTGTCTCTACCAACGTTTTTGCAAAACTCCAAAGACGTACCTATACATACAACTCCCAGTAGTAAAATGAACACTAGTGGCAGTAAAACACCTACAACTTTTCTTCCTTTTTTACACAAATTATAATTACATTAGCTAGATTATTGATTAATTTCTTATTTTTGTGCAGTCCATTGCAAAACATTATGTTATGAGCTCCAAACAATTTGACCACACTGCATTATTTGTAAACAATACATTTTGAAGTTTGCATCACATAACCAGCTCCATATGTATGGCTTTTCTGACGAAGTAAACTTGCTCAATAGAGCACCTGGTACAGCATTGTATTTGCTTGGGCATGAGTCCAGTGAAACATGACCCATAATAAAAGTGCTCAAAACTTGTAAAAGACTATCAGTTAAGTTTAAGTTAGGGTTTAGTGAATGTCATCTATTTTGAATAAAATTAAACTTTAGCTTTAGTGCCGCTCACTGGACATTCCTTCTTGAAAGTGTTGCGAAATGTGGAAGAAGTGACATAATAGGTGCGTTTTTCCAGTGAGTGTGGGTTTGAAATATAAGCAATGTTAATATTAACTCAGACATAGCACAATACAGTAGCATTTTTAAACTTTTAAAATGAATTTGTGTTGCAAGGTTTTTCAAATGGTCCCAGTTGTGGTATACTATAGCTCCTAAACACAGTGTTAAATCAGAGGAACTGAGACTGAAGCAGACCATGAAGAATACCCAGGACTGATTTTTTTTTTCAGTAATAGTGATATGCAACCGTAATTGCCCTTCGATAAGCTAGTAAACATGGTTAGCTCATTAATGGTAATTGCCTAAGCCCAGACATCTCTGGCTGCCGTCCGCCAATCACCAACCACCGCTCACCCTGAGGGCCAGAGCTTTAAAATCCCTGAATGAAAAAGAGCAAAAACATTCCTTGTGAAAGCCGTATTTCTCACACCAAGCGTTTAAGCCGTTCTAATTGCTTTCAGATGGAAGTAATCCACCGTCAGCCCTTCCAATAACAGGTAAAGTAAATGTTGTGTTTCTTATGAAAATAAGCTGTGTTCACATCCTCCTGGGCTGAGCTGCGTCTCTAAAGGTGCACTTGAAATTAGCTTCTGTTTATTCGTTTAAAGCCCAGGCCAGGAAGACGCTGTTTTTTTCTTTTTCTTGTAATTTCTTGTTTGCTTGTGAAGGACTTTCTACATCTCAAATTCTTTGTTTGTATATTTTGAGTGCATGATCACCACAAATCCCCTCCTATCGCTTTCAAAAAAATATGTTTTACTCGAGTGTGCTCTTATTATACTTATTTTAAACAAAATGGAAAAAAAAAAAAGAAAAGAAAAAAGAGAGTATACATACTCTCGGCCCCGCCCCCACAGAGTTTATGTGTTTACAGTGCTTGTATACTTTATACAAAATTCATACAAAATCATACTTAAGTGTACTTGGCTTACACTGACAAGTATACAGAACAGTCTAAGAATATTTGGCCTATACTTGTACTTTATAAAAAAAATTATAATTTATTATTCTATATATACTCTGTATATTTTATATATCTAACAGTATACTACACTTTAAGTACATCTTTTTTTCATAAACTAAAAAAGTGGGACAACTTAGTCCCAAGAAGTTTTGAAAATAGTACACTTATAATTATACTACTGGTACATTAATTTTAGTATACTTACTACACAAAATATACTTGGAAAATATACTTGAACTTTACTCAAGGCAAGACACTTCAAGCAAAACCATTGGCCATTAGGCCAATTTTGGGATATTTTGCTTCCATAACATCATCTTTCAGACTACTGGAAAGAAAACATACAAAATATACATTTGAGTGTTTATTTTATTACACTTTATCTGTTTGCGTCTGTAGATGTCAATTATACAGCACATATCTTTACAGGCCGCTTCTCAAAATTAGTTTCTCTTGCACTTCAGTACTTACACACACCAAACGTTTCATAGTATATAGGTTTTTACAGAGGGGTTTGTGCATCATTCACCTGATTTATATAACATTATTCCTAAAACATGGTAAATTGTTTTCTTACTGTTAACAGTATTTTCTGATTTGATAAAAAAGGAATATCCAGAATCCCCTTTGTAAAAACCTTTAACTCTGATATGTCAACAAAATAAAACATTTTGGCTTTGTCCAATATTCAGATTTATGTTCTGGAAATGTATTTTTAATTAGATTATGCCTCATTTGCATATTTAAATATAACATTTCAGAAAACTTGTAATACAAAATAATGTGTTATTGTACTGTGATTTTGGTGTCTCAAGTTTACATAAAAAAATTAACTTGAAGTATACTTTTCCCCAAATGCACAAGCCACAGCATCTATAATGAGCAGTGGCTGGTGTTAGGAGCTTGATCAGGGCGTCACCCCAGCACTTGTCCAGTCTTATCCGTCAGGCTTGACCCCGGGTGAAGGAGAAAGCTGTCAGATGTGTCACTGTGACAACACAAGTAGTTTACTACGCCTCTGGAACAGGATTAACCCCGCTGAAGCCACTCTCTCTTCTCTTAAGTAAAGCTCAGAAGCAGATGGAGGCCTGTGCCCTGCTGGGGTTGACCCGGGCTGGGCTGGGGAGCAAGCTTTGGACCCTGATCAGCAGGTGAGCCGAACGCCTGGAGGGTCATGAGGGTCACTCTGTGTGTGGCCAGCTGAGCTTGTGCTGAAGCCATGAGGGCACTGACGGCCACTGCTGACTCAGCAGCTTCCCGCTTTAAGGGGCATATTGTTTTGAGATTTTGGGAGCTCATTACGTTTAACAGTTCCTGGAAGTTTCACAGGAGAGCTTATTCCAGCTTTGTTTGGCAACTGGTCATTTTGGAGGTTTAAAATGAGTCTCATTAGGTATCTGAAAGCAGTAATATTGTATGTTGTTGCTCATGCTGATAAATCAGCCTAGTAGTGCTCTTATCATGGTAACCAAGCCTCAAAATACTGGTGGCTCCACAGTACTCTTGTCAGGGTTGCCGGATCTGTGTAACAAAACCTGCCTATTGTAAGCCAAAAACTAGTCCAATGACCATTTAATAACCCAAAAGTTAACCCAGATACCACAACTAAAATACAGATTTTACAGTCACTGTAATTATGCATTACACACAATTTCAACTTAAAATCACTGAATAGTAGTAATCTTAAAGTTTATCATAAATCATCTTTCATTTAGGTTAACAGTTTTTGCAATAGCATAAAATGATAAGAAAATTTTTTTTTTTATATGTACATGCTTAAATGTATAAAAAATATTTTAAGGTGTGTGTTTTTCTTAGCTTAATACAATATGTGTTCCTTGCAAAAAAATCTGTGGAATATCAAAATTTTTTATATTTTGAAGAGCACTGTTTGTGCACGTTGTTGGTGCCAAAGCACTTCATTTTGACAAATAATTACAAAGAAATGGCAAGTAACACTTTTTTTTTGTTTTTTGTTTTGTAAAACATACTCCAATTATCTTGAAACAAAAATAGTTTTTAGTTGTTTCAATTGTTACAGTTGTCGTTTATCATATAAATTGCTTTTGGTATATGAGTGGCACAGAGGTGGCAGTTTTATATATATATATATATATATATACTGTATATATACGTATAGTGCTAGTTAAGGTGATTAACTAACGAGCTCCACCAGTGCCGAATTGATTGATTATCTGATCATGCTCCTCCCGAACCTTGTTAATAAAACATAATTTGTGTTTAACTAGACAACAAAGTGAAGAATTTTGCCAAATATATTAATGTGTATAATTTAATGATGATATATTTGTTATTTGTAATATATTTTCACTTTCACTCAAACACAACTTTATTTTTATTTGCTATTGAGAATTGTAATATTATTAATGAAAAACAACACGCGCATAGGTATTAAAATAGGTACAAAATAATCGGAAGTTGAGAAAACTCAAACGCATGAGGCAACGATCTGTAGGATCTTTTTGAGTATACTAAACATATGGAAACTTATGGCTTGAATTTTAGGTAAAGCTTTTATGATCTAAAACTTTCTCATTTTATCTAACTTGTGTATCAGTTTCTTAAACAAACTAAAAAAAAAAAGGTTATATAGATTTAATTCTAAACACCGAAACAAGGCACAGACTAGTTGAAATGGAAGAAACTTCAAGGAGAACACTAATCTCAGTGGTGACATATAAAATACAAACAAAGACAATAGAGCTAAGACATCTAATTCATCATTAGTGATCAAACTGAGCATGTTTAACAGCCTGCTGGATGTGACATCGTAA